GCACTTCATGAATGGCTTGCTGAATGCTAGAGATTTTGCTTTTATTGTGAAGTCACAAAGGCATTGTGATAAGAGAAATAACTGCAATTCAAGGCCAAGGTGCAGACCGTCCTCAAAAGTGTGTGTGTGTGTGTGTGTGTGTGCACGTGTATATGTGTGTATTTCTACGTGTGTGTGTGTTTGTTCTGTGTGTGTGTATCGGTGTGTGTTATATATATCGTGTGTGTGTCTACTTGTATATGTGTGTGCGTTTGCATATGTGTATGTCTCTCTACCTGTGTGCGTGTGTGTTTGTGTGTGTGTGTGTGTGTGTGTGTGTGTGTGTGTCTCCAGCGAATCCGTCATACATCCCCCCTCCGCAGTGTCAGCCGGGAGAGTTCGCCTGTAAGAACAACCGCTGCATTCAGGAGCGCTGGAAATGTGACGGAGACAACGACTGTCTGGACAACAGCGACGAGACCGCTGAACTCTGCCGTAAGAACACACACACACAAACACACACAGACAGACACATACACACACACACACGCACCCATACCCACATGTTGTGTTTGTGTGTAGATCAGCACACGTGCCCTGCAGACAGATTCAAGTGTCAGAATAACCGCTGCATCCCGATGCGCTGGCTGTGTGACGGAGACAACGACTGCGGCAATGATGAAGACGAGTCCAACACCACATGCTCAGGTACAAACACACACACACATACTTATTTATGACAAATTACTTTTGCATAATGTTATTATTATTATTATTAATATTGATTATCTGCATATTTATATTTGTTTTAATAAACACAAGCTTAGATTTGTCCACCTGTGGGGTTTTGGAGGCGTCTGCATCACCATATAGGGCACAAGAACAACGCGTGTGTTTGGATATAACTCAGTTTTTTGACCACACTTCATTATTATTGTTCATTTATTCCTTATTTTTAATATATTTATTTAAATAATTTATCGTATTTATTTTAATAAAATTTTCTTTTCTTTTCTTTTCTTTTCTTTTTTTTACATTTTATTTTATAAACTATTTAATTTGTTATTTTATTTTATTTTATTTATTAAATTATTATTATTATTTTTTATTTAATTTAACTTAATAATTTTTTTCACAACACTTAACTAGACAATGCATCACTTTAAACTACTACAAATCACAATAAAAGTCACTTTTTGCAACTTTTCAAGGTAAAAAATTGTTGGAAGAAACATCAAAATCCCATAATGCAGTTCAAAAGCAGAAAATAATGAATCACAGAATGCCTAAAACTACTAATGTAAGGGTGTTTTTTAAAGTGCGGCAGCACATTTGAGCTCTTTTGACCTTCATACTAGGATACACTATTATTTTTAAGTGACTATCATTACTGAATACAACAATTTATACCAATAAAACTGATGCGTATGATTGATTTACAGTAGTTAAAGCTCTTTGAGCTAACCGTAACATTATCTATCTGTGTGAGGAATGTGTCCTGCAGGAGTAAGAGACGCACTGTGTTGTCTTTGTGTGTATCTGCACTGGAATACTGATGACCTGAAGCACACATGAATGCTGATGTGAATGTTTTGGTGGTGTTTTGCAGCTCGGACGTGTCCTCCAAATCAGTACTCGTGTGACAGCGGCCGCTGTATCCCCATCTCCTGGACCTGCGATCTGGACGACGACTGCGGTGATCGCTCTGACGAACCATCAACTTGCGGTAAATCAAACACATGCGTTAATATTCATGAGCTCACTCATTAATATGCATGCAATGCTTTTATACACAACTACAGTTGATTATGACAACTCAGTTTAGATTATGTTTATCTTTGAAGGAAATATGGAAACACTTACAGCAATATTTCATATTAATAGTTTGTTGACAATTTTAACAAAACTAAAATGAAAATATTTGGTCAGCTGTTATTTTAAGGTACAATTCTCACTATTTATAAAACAATAACTGACTTTTGCCTCAGTAAACTCTTATTTGTTGCTTATTAATAGCTATTAAGGTAGTAGTTGAGTTGAGTTATTATGAATGTGGAGTATGTACTTTATAAGTACTAATAAACAGACAATATCTTAATATTAGACAGCCACTAGTTAATTGTTACTTTATTTTATTTAGATCATTTCTATTATTATTATTTTTTGTTTTATTTTATTTTGTTTTATTTATTTTGCTTTATTTATTTATTTATTTATCTATTTATTTATTTTAGTTTTATTTTAGTTTTATTTATTTATTTATTTATTTATTTTATTAATTGAAATTTTATTAAAAATATTAATCTTTTATTTTATTTTGGTTTATTTAATTTAATTTTAATTTATTTTCATTTTATCATTATTTATTTTATTATTAATTTTTTTTTATAGTTATCAGGGTAGTTGAATTTAGCCATTAGAGATGTGGAATATGTACTTTAAAAGTGCTAATAAACAGAGAATATATTAGTAAAAAACAGCCACTAGTTAATTGTTTATTATTTAATTTTTAAATTTTATTTTATTTTATTAATAATTTATTTTGTTTAAATCTTTTTTATTTTGTTAATATTTCATTTTATTAATAGTTTATTTTGTCTTATTTAATTTTATTTTTTATTATTTTTATGTTTTTATTAATAATTTATTTTGTTTTATTTTAGTTTTATTTATTTCATTAATATTTTATTTTATTTTATTAATAAGTTATTTAGTCTTATTTTATTTTATTTTATTTTATTTTATTTTATTTTATTTTATTTTATTTTATTTTATTTTATTTTATTTTATTTTATTTTATTTTATAGCTATTAAGGTAGTTGGTTTTTGGCATAAGGAGTGTCACATATGTACTTTATAAGTACTAATAACCAGACAATATCCTAATATTAGACAGCCAGTAGTTAATTCTTAATTAATTAATTTTATTTAATTTAAATTTTTTATTTTTTTATTTTATTTTAATTATTTTTTTCTTTTTTTTAAATAATTATTTTGTTTTATTTTATTTTGTCAACGAACCCTTAAAAAAGTTGCTTTGATTTTAATGCATTCAGTTCAGATGTTTTCAATTGTCATATGTGCCTTTGTATGATTATTACTTATGATTTGTGCTGTTGTTTTATGTGGTCAGCGTACCCGACCTGTTTCCCGCTCACTCAGTTCACCTGCAACAACGGCCGCTGCATCAACATCAACTGGCGCTGTGATAACGGTGAGCTTTTTACTGCGATTTCTCCCTCATTTGTCTGTGTGCTGATCACCTGTGTAACGTCATGTCCTCTTCTCTCGACCATTCACCCTCTCCCTGTGTCACATTGGCTGTGTGTTGCAGAGAAGGATTGTGGGGACAGCTCTGATGAGTTCAACTGTCCAAACCCAACCGGTTAGTGCATAGATCAACATGCACCTGTGTAATAAGAGCTTAAAAACACCTGCAGCAAGACTCTGTCTGTAACAACCAACAATTTCTGATAGGGTGCCTGTTAAATGGTTAAAGGGATAATTCACTCAAAAATAAAAGAAACATTGACTGTCAATGCATCAACAAGATGTAAGAAATATTTTTTGCTTAGATTTTTGCTTGTTTTTAGTCCAAATATCTAAAAGACTTTAAATTAGGAAGCATTTTCTAGACAAGTTAAAAATATATTGTTTTAAGATATGTCAAAATTAAGCTTTATTTTATTTTATTAATATTTTTTTATTTTTGTTTTGTTTTGTTTTAATTTATTTTATTTTTTTTGTTTTATTTTAATAATCATTAAATTAAATTTAATAAATTTATTAATGTAATTTTATTTATAATTATTTATTTAATTAATTTAATTTAAATTTTATTTATTTTAATATTCAATCAATTTGTTAATGTTTTCATTTTATTTTATTTTAATTTATTAATTCATTTTATTTTAATTAATTTTGTTTTAATTTTATTTATCTTATTTGATTTTTATTCATTTTAA